TTCGCCAATCGGATATCATTCGTGTACGACTTGAGGGGGCCGTCCATCGCTGTGGACACCGCCTGTTCGGCCAGTTTGACGGCACTGGCGCTGGCCGTCAACGATATGCTATTGGGTGAGTATATTGCTATCACGTTGTAATACATTGTAATTTAACCACATGATTTTAATAATATTATTTTGACCAAGGTAACGTGGAGAAGGCGTTGGTGTGCGGCTGCAACATTAACCTTGAGCCAATAGTAATACAATGCCAACAAGAGGTGGGCGCGTGTTCGCCGAGAGGTGTGTCCGCCCCGATGGACGCCTCGGCCGACGGGTACGTCAAGTCGGACGCCGTGTGCGCTGTGCTGTTGGAGCGCCGACGAGACGCCCGCCGACTATACGCCACGTTAAGAGCCGTACGGCTAAATGCAAACGGCTATAAACCCGACGGTATGTTAAGGCCGTCCGGCGCCGCGCAGGAGGCGCTTATGCGGTGCGCGTACGGCGACGTTGGCGTAGACCCCAGTCACGTGACGTACGTTGAGTTACATTGCGCGGGCACTCAGGTTAGCGCACAGTAGTTTATTGTGATTACCTAAATTATCTAATGATATATTGATAATAATAATCAGTTATTGTATATACTATAGTAAATAGTGTGAATACAGTGTATAGTAAAGTAGATACAGTAGATTTTAGATACAGTATTATATACAGTATATAATTTAGTAAACTTTATAGTTAATATAAATGGGCAGAACTCATACGACTCTATTTAAACTTGCATAGTAAACGCTGCCATAGATCTGACATAGCCCATCAATAATATAAAGTTATATCAATTATATACTTTATAAATCAAACGATACTAACTTTACTGTATACTGTATTAATAAGTATTATTAATAATATCAGAATTAAATAATAATTACGTTATAATGTTGTTTGAATTGAAAGGCCGGCGATTTTGCGGAAATCAACGCCGTTTATAACGCGTACTGCAAACCGACGGCCCGTACGGAGCCGTTGCCGTTGGGGGCGTTGAAGAGCAATATGGGTCACGCGGAGGGCGCCGCCGGTTTAGCAGCTCTTATCAAAGTGCTGATCGCCTACGAAAACGAATGCATTCCACCAAATATTAATCTACATCATTTGAGAGATGACCTAGCACCATTGATGTCTTTTGTCATGCCTGTCGTAAAGGCTCATGATTACAAGCCAGGTATAATGCACCCAATACAAGTGATATCAATTTATATTGTACATATTACTATTAGTAATTTACTAATACAAAAGGAATTGACACTAATATTTAATATATAAGATGTAATATTGCAATATATTGCAACTATCTATGAATCTAGATTTAGTAAAAATAACAAATGCATAATTTAATTAGGAACAAAATTTTTTATTTATATTAAAACTTATAGGTTTGGCAGCGGTTGACAGCCTGGGTGTTGGCGGTGCGAACGCACACGTATTGCTCGAACCCAACTATAAATTGGCTGCAAGTGATGGCCGTCAACGACGGGTCGCCGATATTATGCCCAGAATTGTCAACATTTGCGGCAGAAGTGAAGAGTCTGTCAAATATATAATGGATTTTATTGAAAATAATTTGCAAAAAATAACGAATGATTTTTTGGCACTTTTGTCGCAAACAATGAAATACACGCCTAATGTTAACTCTGCGGGAATGCCGTTCAGGGGTTTGTATGATTAAAATATGAGTTTAATAACTATTTAAACACTAGTTTTATAGCTATGATTTAGAAACTAATTTATTATAAATTTATAATGCTTAATTTTAAATATTTATAAATTAAATACAATTCATTAAATCCATTATAAGTATTACTAGATTTATTTAAATATCTGTATTTTAGGTTCAATTATAATAAAGAAAATTAACGATGAAATGAACTGCAATATAAAATATGAATACAAGAGACAAATGGCAGTCACGCGGGACAAAGCGCTGAGACCTCTATGGGTACTGTTCCCGGGTTTGGGCGGTCAGTGGCCTGCGATGGCCAGGGCTTTGATGCCAATCAAGACGTTCGCCGACACTATCGACGTATGCCATCAAACGGTTAGCGAAGAGTTTGGTATCGATTTGAAACACATATTACTATCGGACGACACGACAGCCATCGACACAATGCTCGCCAAATTTGTGGCCACGACTGCCGTTCAGATGGCATTGTTTTCGGTCATCAAAACACTGAACATTACCGTCGACGGCATAATTGGCCACTCGTTCGGTGAGATAGCGTGCGGTTACGCCGACGGGTGCCTAACGCTCAGGGAGGCGATGATTTATGTGGCCCTTCGGGGCGTAATTACGGTACACATACCGGAAGGACTGATGGCAGTGGTCGGCCTGTCGAGAGACCAGGCGCTGACATACTGTCCAAACGGTGTTTATATTGCCTGTAATAACGGAGAGCGAAGTGTTGTCATTACGGGTAATGTTTGTGAAAATAGTTTTTATTTATTTGTGTTTAGCTATGAAAAAGTGATAATTTATTATATCTCAACATTTACTTGATCATGCTTAACAAATTATACCACAATGCTTATTATAAAACTAATTGTAATTAATTTTAGGTTTAATGAATGAAATGTTGGAAACAATTAAACAATTAAAAGCGAATAATGTATTTGTGCGCCAATTGGACAGCAATCACATCCCATACCATTCGCAATACGTTAGCGAATTGGCTAAAAACCAGAGCACAGCCACCGATAAATACGGTCTAAAGCCGGGCCTCAGATCCCAGAAATGGTTGTCAACAGCGGTGTTCAGAGGGGAACCGGAGGACCGGCGGCTGGCCTACAGTGACGGCCGCTATCATCACCACAACATGATAAGCGAAGTCCGGTTTTACCCACAATTGCAAACACTGCCGGCGAACGCCTGTGTGTTAGAGTTGGGTCCGCACCCATTGTTCCGGCAAATCGTGGCCCAAACGCTGCCGCAGAGCACCCATATATCGCTTATGAAACGCGACTCAAACGCCACTAATATGGATACGTTTCTGGCAGGTGTAGCCAAATTATACCAACTCGGTTACAATCCGTCCGTCGAGCGCCTATACCAGCCGGTTGTGTGGCCGGTGCCGAGGGGTACGCCGTCTATCTCATCGTTGATCAAATGGGATCACAACCGGCGATACGCTGTGCGCTGTTTTGGCGATCATTATTGCCGCTCAACGGCCGGCGACTCCACTGTTATTGTCGAGCATACCCTAAATCAGGACTTATTTTTTATGGACCATAAGCTGGACGGCCGGCCCATATACCCGGCCACCGGTCACGTGATGCTCGCGTGGCGTAAAGTGGCCCAAAGTGTTGGCAAACTTTGGACAGACTGTCCGGTGGTGTTTGAGCACGTACAATTCAAACGGGCCGTGTTTTTATCGCAAACGGCTAACACTAAACTCGTGGTGAAATACTATCCACCATCAGGTAATTATTGTTAGCACATACTATGCTAGCAAACTATCTTTTAGCTCTGTCTCACGTAAAAACATTTAAATATTAATATTTATATTTTTAAATAAACCACCAGGTGAGTTTGGCATTTACGAAAACGACCAACTGTGCGCAACGGGAATTGGATACCCTGTTATTAACAATAATACTGCTACTACTATCAACTCGACAAATGACCAAGCTCATCAGCGACATCAATCGGCGCTAATCGCGCAGCACACCATCGCTGAGTGGCTACCTATGTTGGACGGGCACCGGTGGCCGTACGCCATAGGCCGGGCGGACATCTATAAAAACATAGGTGCCCTGGGCTTAGACTTTGGGCCCGCGTTTCAGAGACTACGCTCCTTTTGTACCGACGATTTCCGGGTGGCGTACGGCCGGTGCGAATGGACTGGCAATCCGGTGACATATTTGGACGGTATGTTCGCCGCAATGATGTTTCTCTCGACGTTGCGTACAATAATTGTCGGCCACACTATACGCGCCATACGTATCGATCCATTAGTTTTGTTTGATAGCATTAGGGCCCAAAATACATCACAACAATTGACCAATGTCAATTCGAATTGTGATTTGCAACTAGATCAGGTAGGGTTTGCTTTTTGTTTGTTTATTAAATTTTTATACATTATATTTTATTGTGACAATTTCCCTATTACCGAGATATTAATTATTACTGCAATTAATTAAATTATTATTTAAATAATTTTAGTTTATGGTCAATAAAACTTTTTGTCAAAAGTTATTGCTGTTAGAATTTTAATTGTATTTTATAATTAATTAATTCTTATTTACTTTGTCAAGTAGATTGAGCAAGATACTAAGAGTGATAATGAAATGACAAATCGAGAAAAATTTAATAAACGTTTCGCCATATGTTCGGCGGATATGCCGTTGCGATACAACACTCGCACCGGACAACTGGTGTCTCTCGGACTTGAAATGGAAGGCCTGACTGTACAACCCGTGCCCTATCGGCCGGAAACTAATTTAGTGCTCGAGTCATACGAGTTCTGTTCAAACTATGATATGGTGGCCATCGATGACAGTACGCGCGCAGAGATGTTGCAATATATTGAGGTATTGTATTAATAATTGCTTGTAAAAAATCAACTTGATATACAGTAATCTATTGGTTAAAACAGGTTTGCAAATCAATTGCAGCGAAAATATACAAATTGTTTGCCAATCAAATTAAATGCGATTTGAATTATGACAATATCGATGACAATGTGCTACAAGAGTATAATAATGCAAACCATGTGTTGTTTCGCATATTTAATACAATATACTCACGAATTGTTGACAATAATTGCAATATTAATGATAATAAAGGGATTATTGATCACATATTGTGTGAAATACAGGGGAAACCGGAATACGATTTATGCAATGATATGTTAAACGATATCCAAACGAACGATCGATTATTTAAATGTGTTGTGGATATAGTTTGCGAAAACTATGGCAACGCCAACGAGCTATGCGTAACCGAAATTAATTTAACTCAAAATATTTTAAAGCATCATGTTGAACAAATTATTACACGATTTCGCATAGACACGATCAATGTCAATTATAAATTACTAGCTAACTACAATAATAAACTATTTAATGAAGGTAATGATCAAAGTGTTAGTGGCCTATGTATAACTCCATCCCATTTGATTATAATGAGAGACTCGCCAGACTTATGGCCATTGGATTTAAATGGGTTTATTCAGGACTTGTATGACTCCATAGAAAACAATGGATTCCTATTAACAGTATTTCGGTATAAGTTTACGGAACCGGAGATCGCATTGAATTCATTGCAAACAACAAATGCTGTGAATAATAATGATTTGGATTTACGTCTGAAAGCTTTTCAAACAGTTTTGGTTAAAATTGGTTTTAAAATAATTGCCACAAAATATGACACAATAGGAAACGCTGTCCTATTGTTCAGAAGGGTTAACACAATACATGCAATTCCCGCCACTAATAATGTAATCAATATAACGCAGGATTACGCAAAATGGCTTCAAATCCTTATTGACAATATAATTAAGGCTAAAAAATTAAACAAAATGTGTAATAATGTATGGCTTATGGGAAGTGATGGCCCAATCAATGGCATCATTGGTTTACTGAATTGTTTGCGTTTGGAAACTGGCGGAGAGATATTGCGGTATATTTTTCATTACGATAACAATATTTCAATGCCCGATGCCGTGGATTTCAATGCCCGGCCATATCGGGAAATATTGGCCAACGATTTGGTCGCTAACGTCATAAAGGGCGGTGTTGTGGGCACTTATAGGCACTTTAAAATGCCCAAAGACTACGACAAGTGTTTATCAAACAATTACTATTTAAATACGGGTTTAACGCGTGATATATCGTCTCTTCAATGGTATGACGAGCAAAACGTGCCGACACTTGAATCCGATATTAATAATAAAAATGACACCAAAACCCGTATAGAGATCTACTACTCGGGTATATCCACGCGTGATATACTGGCCACCACTGGTAACCCGTCATGTATTATGTATTATTATATCATTAAATATAATAATTTAATATAATTTGGACTAGGTAATTTGCCAGGTTTAACGGACCCCATGCTTACCGATTGTCAGCTCGGGCTAGAATTCAGTGGCCGCCGTTCAGACACCGGGCAGAGGGTAATGGGCGTAGCGCCGGGCGGCCGATGCCTTGCAACTAGTGTGTGGGCGCCCATTACCCATATCTGTCCGATTCCCGGCCACTGGTCTATGGCTGAGGCGGCCACTATTATGAGCGCTTATTGTACCGTATATTATGGACTCATTAAATTGGCTAATATCAAGGAAGGTAATTTTTTAGTACCTGTAAAACTTGGTATTGATATTCTCAAACTTATAACTTATTTACTATTATTTGTAAAAAAGGTAAATTTGTGTTAATACACAACGGGTCGGGCGACGTGGGTCTGGCGGCTATCAACGTGTGCCAACACTACGCGTGCGATATCTATGTGACGGTCGGGACGGCAGAGAAGGGCCGATATATACGCGACGCGCATAACATACCGGCGAACCGGATATTCAGCGCCGTCAACGACGCCGGACTCAACGCATGGCTAATGGCTGAGACCGACGGCCGGGGCGTCGACATAGCGCTTAGCACCGGACTGTCTGGCGGTGGCCAACTGTGGCCACTAAACTCTCAATCTCTGGCCAATGGCGGCCGGTTTGTCGACGTGGGTAATAATGACTGGCCGATGGGCAACGCGCCAACTCTGCCGCACCGGGAGGTGCAATACATACGACTGTCGGCCGACTCGCCTGCCAAACGGGACACCAATTTTATGGCCGAGTTTTACGCCTGGATTCGGGACAACTGTGGGCCGGCCAACGGTGTGGGCCAACGGGCGTGCGTTTGGCCGCTAAAATACACGACATTCCCGGCGACCAAAGTGACCGACGCTTTCGCCGGTGTGACCGCCGGCGCACACGTCGGCAAAGTTATAATCAAACACAGGGACGACGACGGCGTTGACACTCAGCCTATCAGTCCGGCCCACTATATAATGGTCGCCCGTAAGGCGTGTTTCTGTTCGCGCAAAGTGTATATAATTACCGGCGCTTTGGGCGGCGTTGGGCTCGAGTTGATGGCGTGGATGCACTACAGGGGAGCCCAAAAGTTTGCCCTAACCTCCCGGTCCGGTCTGCGCACAGAGTATCAAACGTTTGTTATAAATCGTATGCAAAGTTACGCCAACAACGCCGATGGTAATTATCAGAGGCCGGAAATATTAATATCGACCGCCAATGGGCTAACCAGTGAAGGGTGTGAGCGATTGCTCCGGGAGGCCCAGCGTATGGGCCGTATCGGCGGTGTATTTCATTTGGCGCTCGTATTGAACGAAACGTTGGCCGAGAATATGACTGTCGAGCGGTTTGCCGAGTCGGCCGACACTAAGGGTCGGGTGTTTGAAAATCTGGATCAACTGACGCGCCGTTTACTTGACTATAAAGTGGACTATTTTGTGGTGTTTTCGTCGATATCGTGCGGCAAAGGGTTCGCCGGGTATTCAAACTACGCGTACGGAAACTCTGTGTGCGAACGGCTTTGTGAACGCCGCCGCGCCGATGGTCTGCACGGACTGGCCGTACAGTACGGCCTGATTGGCGACGTCGGCGCTTATGAGGGACGCCAGGAGTACGAGTCGGCGACGCTGTGCCGCAAACAACGAGTGCACTCGTGTTTTAACGTATTGGAAAAACTGTTGGCCACTGAATACCCGATCGTCGCATCGCAGGTAATACATGGCTAAACTTTATATACCGTAACTCATAAAATGACAATGTAAAGTTATATAGCATTAACTATTAATAATTAACTAATATTTGAGTGGGGTGGCGGATTAGAATTGTGATGTAAACCTTTATATTTAACCTTGGTGATTATTATGAATTTAAGTGTATGGAATTATAATCTGCCTTAAAATAAGCCGAATTTTTATTATAAATATAACTATGTTAATAGAATGAAATATTTCACCATGTAATTTTAATTTGTATGTATTTACAAGTTGTACGATGAAGATCGGTCGGCCATATTAACGGTCAATACGGGCACACGACTGATGGGCGAGTTATGGTCAGTGTTGGGCGTCGACCCGTGCAATACACCCGACGACATAACTATCGGCGAGATAGGCATCGAATCGCTGTTTGCCATACGAATGCAAAACGAGTTTACAGACCGACTGGCGCTCAACGTATCGCTCACTCATATCAAACACATGACTGTAGGCATGTGTAAGGCGTACGCCGAGGGCAACCCGGAGCCCATACGACAGTGCATTGCCAAACAAAAAGCCATATAATTTGTCTCCTATTTTTTATTAATACTTTATATTAATTAATTATTGCCAAAAATAAAATTTAAAAATTACCATTTTTATATGTTATTAAATTTACATAGTTAGTTTTTTAAAATATTATTGATATAAAGTATTTAATATTAATACATAATGTTTATTTATTCATAACAATATGGCTATCAATTAACTAACTAATAATTGACTAGTTGTCTAACTTTAGTTTGTTCAAGACATAAATAAATAGACACGGTGCCAAAAAAATGTGCATTAAGCTCATTTATCAGCAAAGAACTTGACAAGTGCTTTGGAGATCAGTACTGAAAACGATTTAAACTTNTCTCTCTCTCTCTCTCTCTCTCTCTCTCTCTCTCTCTCTCTCTCTCTCTCTCTCTCAATATGTGTCATACCAGACAACATCATAGAGTGTGTAATTGGTATCGGGTTTAGACGCGGCGACCATCGCTCGGGTAAATTGGTCTCTAATCACTTTCATCTTAGGATTCATATCATGCACTTCCTTATAGTATGGCAGCCACTCGTCTAGTGTCCCATTTGTCAATCGATTACACGTCTCATTGTATACAGATTTTTTGCTAAAAATATTTGCAATAAACTTGGTCGCACTCGGACTATGCCCATACATGTTAAGAAAAACGCCCTTGATGCCCAATTTTGACGCCTTTATTTGGCTGTAATTGATTAACGTTTTTAGTTTTAAATGTTATTAGTGACAATATACTTTATATTTTTATATTTAAGTTACATTATATAAGCATATTGTATTGATTATTGTACTTAACTGTTTGCAAATCTCCTCTAATTGTTGACGTTTGTACACTTGTGGCCGCTCCGGGTCGCCAAACGTAATGAATGGTACGGCATATGTATTGTCCAATTCCTCCTCCGTGATTGCGCGAGTGCTATTCCCAACTGAAAACCATAATGGTATGATTAAAATTATTTGACCGATTAATTTATCGAATTATAATAAGTGCAATTAATATCATGGAATTTTAAATTACAATAAATTAATACACTTGTGCTTTTTAAAAATAATAAAAAATTTAAAACTGATAAATTAACGATAACAACAAGGACAAATATATTAACCTTTGGCTTCATTATCGATATTAGCCAGAGCTTTACTCATCAACACTATAATGCCTTTTGGATGGGGTTCGGTGGGGGCCGGTAAGTCAGGCCATTCACATTTGAGATCTCGGTTGAAACTGTAGGACAATACATAAGCCGACCCGCCGTTGAGGTGCTTGCGTACTATTTGTCGGGCGATATGTGTTGTCACGGTTTCTACTGTCGATTCAATCCACTTGTTTGCAAAACTAAAATAATAATAAAATCATTTTGCTCTCTCTCTCTCTCTCTCTCTCTATCAATTTGTGTCATACCAAACGACATCATAGAGTGTGTAATTGGTATCGGGTTTAGACGCGGCGACCATCGCTCGGGTGAACCGGTCTCTAATCACTTTCATCTCAGAATTCATATCATGCACTTCCCTATAGTAGCCTAACCAACCGTCGAGTGTCCCGTTGGCAATGCGAACGCACGTTTCATTATATACAAATGGAGTGCGAAAAGCAAATTTGATAAACTTAGTCGCACTCGGACTATGACCATACGTTTTTAGAAAAATATCCCTGATGTCCGATTGTGACGATCTCTTGTAACTATAATTAGATATAGTGGCTTTTTAGGTTAGTTTTAAATTGATTAATATAAAGTATACAATTTTAATAGCATATTGTATTAAAATTCAACTAAACTGTTTGCATATATCCTCCAATTGGTGGCGTTCATACACTTGTGGCCGCTCCGGGTCGCCAAATGTAATGAATGGTACGGCATATGTCTTATCCAATTCCTCCTCCGTGAGTGCGCCACACACTTTATTTGCAGCTAAACATTGTCGGGAATTAAAATTATAAAATGAACAAGATAATTTTTTGTGGTTTACCCCAAATCCATAGCATGGTCATAAATATTTTCTCCATTTTATTCAATACTGATAATACACTAAAAATATAATAAATGATAAAAAATATAAACAAATGTAATTATTAATTTATAACCATATGGTAGATTTATTAAGTAAATGTTGTGGTTTTACACTTTGATTTGCATTTATTATACTTTGAATATTTTAACAAAATTGTATCTTGTTATTACAATTTTATAGGAAATATTATTTAAATTTATATTATTTGCCTAAAGCGGTAGAAGAATAGTTTGTTTAATTTAATTAATAATGTTTTAAATAATAATAATTAATAATATTACAATGTTGAAGCTATATATTTTGATGGGTTTAATTGGTAAATATAATGTATAAATAAATGTTAAAATTTGTTTGAAAGAGAGAGAGAGAGAGAGAGAGAGAGANATGTTAAAATTTGTTTGAAAGAGAGAGAGAGAGAGAGAGAGAAATATACTAAAACATAATTTATCATGCACTTATTAGTTGCCAGCTACAGTACATACGATGCCGTGGAAACATTATTTGACAATCAAATGGTCAACTATGAGAAATACGGTTCGGGCGGCGATTTGACGGAATGTATCGATACTAATAAACTTGCAGAGCATTGCAAAATACATAACGCAAGCTTGTTCGATACAAACGGCATACCGTTAGTATAACTATCCCCAAAAATTTGAACATTGTAGCTAATAAGATAATAAGTTAATTAGCCATTATTAGACATAGGATTAAATAGAGCTACAAATATATATTGATTTAACTTCCACTAACACATGTTTGCCCATTAATGATAATTATTAATTAACAACAACAGATTTAAAAACATGGTAAACGTGTTTAAATGGTTTGGTTACTTGAAAGCCAAAGAGAGGGCAGTGCTGCAGGAAAGCACCAGCATTAAGGACTACAATCGATACAACGGTTTCTGTCAATTGACCCAGGACAAGAAAATAAAATTTGCCAAGATCTTTCACAGCAAACAGGCAGTGGCTAGTAAACTGCGCTCCCGTTTCCTTGGATACCTGGACAGAGCACGTGAGAACGCCAGTGTGGCCAACATGGCCGAAATAATATGGTAAGGTTTTGCGCAGGTGCAATTTTTATATAGCTCTACTGTATACAATAATTGGTACAATACAATTAATAATTAATACAATTATTGGTACAGTGCAATTCAATTAATGTACAGTATAAAGGCAATAAGTTAAATTGTGTAATCTTTATTAGTATATCGCGATTCTATTGGAATAAAATGATCACAATTCAAAGTGACCAGGATGACTTTAAAGCCTACATGATACAATGGCAGTCTGTCTATCAAAAAGTGCTCAATAACAGTGAAAAGTTGCTCAATGGAAAAACCGACAAAACGTGCAAGCTCGCAGATGCGTATCCCGATAGCAAGTTTAAATCGTTTTCAGTACTGATCTCCAAAGCACTTGTCAAGTTCTTTGCTGATAAATGAGCTTAATGCACATTTTTTTGGCACCGTGTCTATTTATTTATGTCTTGAACAAACTAAAGTTAGACAACTAGTCAATTATTAGTTAGTTAATTGATAGCCATATTGTTATGAATAAATAAACATTATGTATTAATATTAAATACTTTATATCAATAATATTTTAAAAAACTAACTATGTAAATTTAATAACATATAAAAATGGTAATTTTTAAATTTTATTTTTGGCAATAATTAATTAATATAAAGTATTAATAAAAAATAGGAGACAAATTATATGGCTTTTTGTTTGGCAATGCACTGTCGTATGGGCTCCGGGTTGCCCTCGGCGTACGCCTTACACATGCCTACAGTCATGTGTTTGATATGAGTGAGCGATACGTTGAGCGCCAGTCGGTCTGTAAACTCGTTTTGCATTCGTATGGCAAACAGCGATTCGATGCCTATCTCGCCGATAGTTATGTCGTCGGGTGTATTGCACGGGTCGACGCCCAACACTGACCATAACTCGCCCATCAGTCGTGTGCCCGTATTGACCGTTAATATGGCCGACCGATCGTCATCGTACAACTTGTAAATACATACAAATTAAAATTACATGGTGAAATATTTAATTCTATTAACATAGTTATATTTATAATAAAAATTCCGCTTATTGTAAGGCAGATAATAATTCCATACACGGGAATTTATAATAATCACCAAGGTTAAATATACATCACAATTTTAATCCGCCACCCCACTCAAATATTAATGTAACTTTATATAATGCTATATAAGTTTACATTTGTTATCTATGAGTTACAGTATACGAAGTTTAACCTATAATATGTTTTACCTGCGATGCAACGATCGGGTATTCAGTGGCCAACAGTTTTTCCAATACGTTAAAACACGAGTGCACTCGTTGTTTGCGGCACAGCGTCGCCGACTCGTACTCCTGGCGTCCCTCATAAGCACCGACGTCGCCAATCAGGCCGTACTGTACGGCCAGTCCGTGCAGACCATCCCTACGCCGGCGTTCGCACAGCCGTTCGCACACAGAGTTTCCGTACGCGTAGTTTGAATACCCGGCGAACCCTTTGCCGCACGATATGGACGAAAACACCACAAAATAGTCGACTTTATAGTCGAGTAAACGGCGCGTCAGTTGATCCAGATTTTCAAACACCCGACCCTTAGTGTCGGCCGACTCGGCGAACCTCTCGACAGTCATATTCTCGGCCAACGATTCGTTCAATACGAGCGCCAAATGAAATACACCGCCGATAGAGCCCATACGCTGGGCCTCCCGGAGCAGTTGCTCACACCCTTCACTGGTTAACCCATTGGCGGTCGATATTAATATTTCCGGCCTCTGATAATTACCATCGGCGTTGTTGGCGTACGATTGCATACGATTTATAACAAACGTTTGATACTCTGTGCGCAAACCGGACCGGGATGTGAGCGCAAACTTTCGGGCGCCCCTGTAGTGCATCCAAGCCATCAACTCGAGCCCAACGCCGCCCAAACCGCCAGTAATTATATACACTTTGCGCGAACAGAAACACGCCTTACGGGCGACCACTATATGATGGGCCGGACTGATAGGCTGAGTGTCGGCGCCGTCGTCGTCCCGGTGTTTGATGATAACTTTGCCGACGTGTGCGCCGCCGGTCAGACCGCAGAAAGCGTCGGTAACTTTGGTCGCCGGAAATGTCGTGTATTTTAGCGGCCGAACGCATGCCCGGCCGCCCACACCGTTGGCCGACCGACAGTTGTCCCGAATCCAGGCGTAAAACTCGATCATAAAATTGGTATCCCGTTTGGCGGGCGAGTCAGCCGACAGTCGTATGTATTGCACCTCCCGGTGCGGCATAGTTGGCGCGTTGCCAATCGGCCAGTCATTATTACCCACGTCGACAAACCGGCCCCCATTGGCCAGCGATTGAGAGCCACATTGGCCACCGCCGGAAGGCCCGGTGCTAAGCGCAATGTCGACGCCCCGGCCATCGGTCTCAGCCATTAGCCAAACGTCGAGTCCGGCGTCGTTGGCGGCGCTGAATATCCGGTTCACCGGTATGTTATGCTTGTCACGTATATACCGGCCCTTCTCCTCAGTCCCGACCGTCACATAGATATTGCACGCGTAGTGTTGGCACACATTGATAGCCGCCAGACCCACGTCGCCCGACCCGTTGTGTATCAACACACTTTCACCTTTTTTTACAAATAATAGCAAATAAGTTATACTGTTTGGAAATATCGATACCAAGTTTTACGGGTATAAACAATTACCTTTCTTAATATTAGCCAATTTAATAAGTCCATAATATACGGTACAATACGCGGTCATAATAGTGGCCGCCTCAGCCATAGACCAGTGGCCGGGAATGGGACAGATATGGGTGATGGGCACCGACACAGTAGTTGCGAGACATCGGCCCCCCGGGGCTACGCCCATCACCCGCTGCCCGGTGTCCAAACGGCGACCACTAAACTCTAGCCCGAGCTGGCAATCGGTAAGCATGGGGTCCGTTAAACTTGGCAAATTACCTAGTCAAAATTATATTAAATTATTATATTTAATGGCATAATAATACATAATTCGTGAGGATTACCAGTGGTGGCCATTATATCACGAGTGGATATACCCGAGTAGTAGATTTCGATACGGGTTTTGGTGTCATTTGTATTATTAATATCGGATTCAAGTGTCACCACGTTTTGCTCGTTAAACCATTGAAGAGACGATATATCACGTGTTAAACCCGTATTTAAATAGTAATTGTTTGATAAACACTTGTCGTAATCTTTGGGCATTTTTAAGTGCCTATAAGTGCCCACAACTCCGCCTTTAATTACGTTAGCGACCAAATCGTTGGCCAATATTTCCCAATATGGTCGGGCATTGAAATCCACGGTATCGGGCATTGAAATATTTTTATCGTAATGAAAAATATACCGCAATATCTGTCCGCCAGTTTCCAAACGCAAACAATTAATTAAACCAATCATACCATTAATTGGACCATCACTTCCCATAAGCCATACATTATTACATATTTTGTTTGATTCTTTGGCTTTAATTATATTGTCAATTAGTATTTGAAGCCATTTAGCGTAATCCTGCGTTATATTGATTACATTATTAGTTGCGGGAATTTCATGTATTGTGTCAACCCTTCTGAACAATAGGACAGCGCTTCCTATTGTGTCATATTTTGTGGCAATTATTTTGAAACCAATTTTAACCGAAACTGATTGAAACGCTTTCAGACGTAAATCCAAATCATTATTATTCACAGCATTTGTTGTTTGCAATGAATTCAATGCGATCTCCGGTTCCGTAAACTTATACCGAAATACTGTTAATAGAAATCCATTGTTTTCTATGGAGTCATACAAGTCTTGTATAAACGTATTCAAATCCAATGGCCATAACTCTTGTGAGTCTCTCATTATAATCAAATGAGATGGTGTTATACATAGGCCACTAACACTTGGCTCCCATGCCTTAACTCGATGATCATTACCTTTATTAAATAATTTATTATTGTGGTTAGCAAGTAATTTATAATTAATGTTGATCGTGTCAATGCGAAATTGTGTAATAATTTTTTCAACATGATGCATTAAAATATTTTGAGTTAAATTAATTTCGGTTACGCATAGCTCGTTGGCGTTGCCATAGTTTTCGCAAACCATGTCTACAACACATTTAAATAGTCGATCGTTTGTTTGGATTTCGTTTAACATATCATTGCATAAATCGTATTCCGGTTTCCTCTGTATTTCACTCAATATATGGTTAATAATGCCTTTATTATCAGTAATATTGCTATTATTGTCAGCAATTTGTGAGTATATTGTATTAAATATGTGAAACAACACATGATTTTCATTGTTTGCATTACTATATTCTTGCAACACATTGTCGTCGATATTGTCATAATTAAAATTGTAGTTAATTTGATTGGCAAACAATTTGTATATTTTTCCTGCAATTGATTTGCAAACCTGTTTTAACCAATAGATTAATGTTTATCAAGGTAATTTTTTACGAGCAATTAATAATTGCCAATTATTGATACAATACCTCAATATATTGCAACATCTCGGCGCGCATACTGTCATCGATGGCCACCATATCATTGTTTGGACAAAACTCGTAAGACTCGAGAACTAAATGAGTTTCCGGCCGATAGGGCACGGGTTGCACAGTCAGGCCCTCCATTTCAAGTCCGGGAGACACCAGTTGTCCGGTGCGAGTGTCGTATCGCAACGGCATATCCGCCGAACATATGGCAAAACGTTTATTAAATTTTTCTCGATTAGCCATTGCATTATCACTGTTAGTATCTTGCTCAATCTACTTGACAAAGTAAATAAGAATTAATTAATTATAAAATACAATTTACATTTTAACAGAAAATTTAAAGTAATTTTTACAATAATAACATGTTATTTATACGGGAAGTATGTGAACATAATAAGATATAAGTTGGCCCAATATACACGCCCTGTCACTCTTATGAGTTATAAATGTAACTTTTGGCAATTTAATAAAAAAATGTTATTGATCATAAACTAAAATTATTTAAATAATAATTTCATTAATTACAAAAATTGAATTCAGCATTAATAAATATCTCGGTAATAGGAAAATTGTTATTCAATAAAATATAATGTATTTAATAAACAAAAAAACAAACACTACCTGATCTAGTTGCAAATCGCAATTCGAATCGACATTGGCCAATTGTTGCGATCGATTTTGGGCCCTAATACTATCAAACAAAACGAATGGATCGATACGTATGGCGCGTATAGTGTGGCCGACAATCATTGTACGCAACGTCGATAGAAACATCATTGCGGCGAACATACCGTCCAAATAGGTCACCGGATTGCCGGTCCATTCGCATCGGCCGTACGCCACCCGGAAATCGTCGGTACAAAAGGAGCGTAGTCTCTGAAACGCGGGCCCAAAATCTAAGCCCAGCGCACCTATGTTTTTATAGATGTCCGCCCGGCCTATGGCGTACGGCCACCGGCGCCCGTCCAACACAGGTAGCCACTGAGCGATGGTGTGCTGAGGAATTAGCGCTGATTGATGTTGTTGACGAGTGTGCTCATTTGTCGAGTTGATAGTAGTATTAGTATTGTTGTTAATAATAGGGTATGACATTCCAGTTACGCACAGTTGGTCGTTTTCGTAAATGCCAAACTCACCTGGTGGTTTATTTAAAAATATAACTATCAATATTTAAATGTTTTTACGCGTATATATACTGCACACCCGCGCCATAGAGAGAGAGCAAGAGAAAGAGAGAGAGAGAGAGCTAAAAGATAGTTAGCTAGCATAGTATGAGCTAACAATAATTACCTGATGGTCGATAGTATTTCACTACGAGTTTAGTGTTAGCCGTTTGCGATAAAAACACGGCCCGTTTGAATTGTACGTGTTCAAACACCACCGGACAGTCTGTCCAAAGTTTTCCAACACTTTGGGCCACTTTACGCCACGCGAGCATCACGTGACCGGTGGCCGGGTATATGGGCCGGCCGTCCAGTGCGTGATCCATAAAAAATAAGTCCTGATTCAGCATATGATCGACAATAACAGTGGAGTCGCCGGCCGTTGAGCGGCAATAATTATCCCCAAAACAGCGCACAGAGTATCGCCGGTTGTGATCCCATTTGATCAACGATGAGATAGACGGCGTACCCCTCGGCACCGGCCACACAACCGGCTGGTATAGGCGCTCGACGGACGGATTGTAACCGAGTTGGTATAATTTGGCTACACCTGCCAGAAACGTATCCATATTAGTGGCGTTTGAGTCACGTTTCATAAGCGATATATGGCTGCTCTGCGGCAGCGTTTGGGCCACTATTTGCCGGAACAACGGGTGCGGACCCAACTCTAATACACAGGCGTTTGGCGGCAATGTTTGCAATTGCGGGTAAAACCGGACTTCGCTTATCATGTTGTAGTGATGATAGCGGCCGTCACTGTAGGCCAGCCGCCGGTCCTCCGGTTCCCCTCTGAACACCGCTGTGGACAACCATTTCCCGGACCTAAGGCCTGGCTTTAGGCCGTATTTATCGGTGGCTGTGCTCTGGTTTTTAGCCAATTCGCTTACGTATTGCGAATGGTATGGGATGTGATTGCTGTCTAATTGGCGCACAAATACGTTATCCGCTTTTAATTGTTTAATTGTTTCCAACATTTCATTCATTGGACCTAAAAGTAAATTGCAATTAGTTTTATATAATATAATATTTTCATAAACATTACCCGTAATGACAACACTTCGCTCTCCGTTATTACAGGCAATATATACACCGTTTGGACAGTATGTCAGCGCCTGGTCTCTTGACAGGCCGACCACTGCCATCAGTCCTTCCGGTATTTGTACCGTAATTACTCCCCGAAGGGCCACATAAATCATCGCCTCCCTGAGCGTTAGGCACCCGTCGGCGTAACCGCACGCTATCTCACCAAACGAGTGACCAATTATGCCGTCGACAGTAATGTCCAGTATTTTGATGACCGAAAACAATGCCATCTGAACGGCAGTCGTGGCCACAAATTTGGCGAGCATTGTGTCGATGGCTGTCGTGTCGTCCGATAGTAATATGTGTTTCAAATCGATGCCAAACTCTTCGCTAACCGTTTGATGGCATACGTCGATAGTGTCGGCGAACGTCTTGATTGGCATCAAAGCCCTGGCCATCGCCGGCCACTGACCGCCCAAACCCGGGAACAGTACCCATAGAGGTCTCAGCGCTTTGTCGCGCGTAACTGCCATTTGTCTCTTGTATTCATATTTTATATCGCAGTTCATTTCGTCGCTAATTTTCTTTATTATAATTGAGCCTAAAATACAGAATTTTTAAATTAATTTAGTAATACTTATAATGGTTTTAATGAATTGTATTTAATTTATAAATATTTAAAATTCAGTATTTAAAATTTATAATAAATTAATTTCTTAACCATAGCTATAAAACTAGTGTTTAAATAGTTATTAAACTCATATTTTAATCATACAAACCCCTGAACGGCATTCCCGCAGAGTTAACATTAGGCCTATATTTCATTGTTTGCGACAAAAGTGCCAAAAAATCATTCGTTATTTTTTGCGGATTATTTTCAATAAAATCCATTATAAATTTGACGGACTCTTCACTTCTGCCGCAAATGTTGACAATTCTGGGCATAATATCGGCGACCCGTCGGTGACGGCCATCACTTGCGGCCAACTTATAGTTGGGTTCGAGCAATACGTGTGCGTTCGCACCGCCAACACCCAGACTGTCAACCGCTGCCAAACCTATAAATTTTAATATAGATAAAAAATTTTGTTCCTAATTAAATTATGCATTTATTATTTTTACTAAATCTAGATTCATAGATAGTTGCAATATATTGCAATATTACATCTTATATATTAAATATTAGTGTTAATGCATTTTGTATTAGTAAATTACTAATAGTAATATGTACAATATAAATTGATATCACTTGTATTGGGTGCATTATACCTGGCTTGTAATCATAAGCCTTTACGACAGGCATGACAAAAGGCATCAATGATGCTAGGTCATCTCTCAAATGATGTAGATTAATATTTGGTGGAATGCATTCGTTTTCGTAGGCGATCAGCACTTTGATAAGAGCTGCCAAACCAGCGGCGCCCTCCGCGTGACCCATATTGCTCTTCAACGCCCCCAACGGCAACGGCTCAGTACGGGCCGTCGGTTTGCAGTACGCGTTGTAAACGGCGTTGATTTCCGCAAAATCACCGGCCTTTCAATTCAAACAACATTATAAAGTAATTATTATTTATCACTAATATTATTATAATTATTTTTAATACAGTATACATAGTATCGTTTGATTTATAAAATTTATAATTAATATAACTTTATAAAGTTAAATACAAGTTTATACCATTAATCCATATTTTCTATTAGCTTGAGGTAACTTTGAGTACTGTTTAGATTTTATTTTAGCTTATAGAATTAGTAATAAATTATTACTAATAATTAATTATTTCAAATAATGATCCAGTTATATGACACTAATATTTAAATTAAATACTATATTAATTATAAAGTTTACTAACTTGTAAATAATATACTGCATACTGTATCTACTATAGTATAGTATACTATACACTCTATTCACACTACTTCATAGTGCATATTATTCATTATTATTAATATGTAAATATCGATATATAATTATATAATTTAGGTAATCATAATAAAATACTGTGCGCTAACCTGAGTACCCGCGCAATGCAACTCAACGTGCGTCACGTGACTGGGGTCTACGCCAACGTCGCCGTACGCGCGCCGCATTAGCGCCTCCTGCGCGGCGCCGGACGGCCTTAACATACCGTCGGGTTTAAAGCCGTTCGCATTGAGCCGTACGGCTCTTAACGTGGCGTATAGTCGGCGGGCGTCTCGTCGGCGCTCCAACAGCACAGCGCACACGGCGTCCGACTTGACGTACCCGTCGGCCGAGGCGTCCATCGGGGCCGACACACCTCTCGGCGAGCACGCGCCCACCTCTTGTTGGCATTGTATTACTATTGGCTCTAGGTTAATGTTGCAGCCGCATACCACCGCTCGCTCCACGTTACCTTGGTCAAAATAATATTATTAAAATCATGTGGTTAAATTACAATGTATTACAACGTGATAACAATATACTCACCCAATAGCATATCGTTGACGGCCAGCGCCAGTGCCGTCAAACTGGCCGAACAGGCGGTGTCCACAGCGATGGACGGCCCCCTCAAGTCGTACACGAATGATATCCGATTGGCGAA